GAGCTAATGAATGTGACGTTAGCTCAGGAGCTAATGAATGTGACGTTGGCTCAGGAGCTAATGAATGTGACGTTGGCTCAGGAGCTAATAAATGTGACGTTAGCTCAGGAGCTAATGAATACATCACCAGTTGATCGCGTGTGATTGTTTCGACCACTTCATACAAATTGTAACTTTATTGCCACGTTATTTTAAGCAATTAGGAGTTTTCATGTGTTACAAACAACTTTTAGTAGAATATAGAAAAAACAACGTTAAGGCCAATATGTGCACGTAACCGGAGATCTATTAAATATTTTATTGTTCATCAGTTACATGTTGAGTTTTCAGAATCGTGTGGTCAGTGAACACATCGTCTCCCATGAACGAGTTCTGGCCCGGGGCTGAGTTTCTGTTGGACCGCCTAAATTCTGTCTCATCCTGTTCCCGTGTCCCCTGCAGGCGCTATGAGAGCGTGGTGACCAAGTTGTACTCAGGAAACCAGTGCTGCCTGTGCAGCATGCGCTTCACCACCGCGCAGACCGACATGTACGCCGACCACCTGGACTGGCACTTCAGGCAGAACCATGCCGGCAAGGTGGCGAGCAAGAAGGTGACGCATCGCCGCTGGTACTACAGCCTGACGGTGAGGACTCGCGCGCGCGCACACACACACACAGAGCTACACGCCGGTCCGGTCCGTGTCCAACTGTCTGTCCCTCCAGGACTGGATCGAGTTCGAGGAAATCGCCGACCTGGAGGAGCGGGCCAAGAGTCAGTTCTTCGAGAAGGAAAACGAGGAGGAGGTGCAGAAGAACCAGGCCGCTGCCAAGGAGAAGGAGTTCCAGAGCGTCCGAGCCACCAAGGACCAAGTGGGAGAGGTGAGACGGGTCTTTGGGCCGGTACCGGTCCAACAGTCAGTTGTTTGGTGTTTTCTCTGGCTGTGGCTCCAACCAGCTCGTTTTATCGACCCGGTTTCCATGGAAACCAGCCGCCTTGTTTGATTGACAGCTCCCTCAGCCAATGGAAGCTTTTCATGAGGTTTCCAGAGTCCTTCAGAAAATACAGAGCAGGTTCTGGGTCTGGCACCAGGACTGGGTCAGACGTCAAGCTGTGGTTCTGATCGGGTTCTCCTGAGTCCAGTCCTGGTTCCAGACCTTCAGTTTGTCTCTGAACCATTACAACTCTGGTTCTGACTGTTTGGGTTCAGACATTTAGTTCGTTCTGGACCAGGACTCGGGTCGGTTTGGGTCGTTTCAGAAGCTGTTGGTGGACCCAACAATCAGAACAATAAACGCAACCATGTAAACGACTGAACAATAAACACAGACATGTAAACGACTGAACAATAAACACAGACATGTAAACGACTGAACAATAAACGCAGACATGTAAACGACTGAACAATAAACGCAGACATGTAAACGACTGAACAATAAACACAGACATGTAAACGACTGAACAATAAACACAACCATGTAAACGACTGAACAATAAACACAACCATGTAAACATGTTGTTTCTGTTGCAGTCGTGTGAAATCTGCCAGGAGGCCTTTGAGACGTACTGGGTGGAGGAGGAGGAAGACTGGTTCCTGAAGGACGCCATCAGGGTCGACGAGAAGGTGAGGCTCCGCCCTCTTTGCAGCTCGCACATCAGAGTCAGAGATTCTTTATTGTCATTTGCACCTCATGTGGTACATGTGGTGGAATGAAATTATGTACACGGGGTCCCAGTTACATCCAACAATAAAATGTATAAGAAAAACAGTAATAACATCTAAGATATGAACTAAGAAAAACATCAACTAAATATACACTAAGCACTCATAACATAAAACATTGAACATCAGCACAAACATGAACATGAGTCTGTGAGCGGATGTGCACGCATGAACACATCAACATTGAAACAGATCAGCAGCAACATGAAATAGATCAGCAGCAACATGAAACAGATCAGCAGCAACATATGGTTTTTCACAGAGATTCATGAGTCTAACAGCCTCAGGGTAGAAGCTGTTCCTCAGTCTAGTGGTTCTACACTTAATGCTCCTCAACCTCCTTCCTGAGGGGAGTGGGGCAAAAAGTGTGTGTGCTGGGTGAGTGTGGTCCTTCATGATGCAGGTGGCCCTCTTCCTGCATCTGGAGGTGTAGATGTCTGTGATGGTGGGGAGACTGGTTCCAACAGATTTCTGTGCAGCCTTCACCACTCTCTGCAAAGCTTTTCTTTCTGCAGCTGTGCAACATCAGCTTTAAGTAAACATGTAAATGTTTGTTTCTGTCCACAGAACTTCCACCCCGCCTGCTTTGAAGATTATAAAAACGTAAGTTTGCTGTTTAGTTGAGATTTGTCCAGTTTTGATCGTCTCGTCTTCTCACTGAGGACGTCTCGTTTTCTTCCCTGTCCTCAGACGTCTTCGTATCTGGACGTCACCCCGTCCCCCAGCAAGCTGCTGACCGAACACCCGCTGGGCGCCTACATCAAGACCGAGGATGAGGAGGTCACTTCCTGTGACTGCGACGTGGTCAAACAGGAAGTGAAGAGCGAGGCGCCAGAAGTGCCTCAGGAGGAGGAGCAGGAGGAGGAGGCCCGGGGTCAGGAGGAGGTTCAGGCAGACTCGGCCCAGTTGGAGGACGAGGCGTGACATTCTGCTGCTCCTCTTTGTCCCGTCGGGGACGAAGAGTTTTTACGACTTGAATACGTTTTGGTATTTGGATGTTGGGTCTGTGCTCAGCTGTAAATGATTTAATTTATAATTAAAGTATTTTTGTAACTCTGGTCTGACGCTGATTGAGTCATCGCGGCCGGGCGCAGGTGTTGAAGGTAAGCAGCATCTGATTGGACGGCGGAGGACGGACCACGCCCTCTTCAATAAAAATAAACATGGAAAATGTGTGAAACCTGAGTTTTTCTGTCAATTAGGTTCAAAAATAAAGTTTCAGTGGATTTAAACTTCCTGCTGTCCTGCTTTTATTTTGAAAAGTTAAAATGAATTTTATTTCATAAAACAGACCAACTGAAAGGGCTCTAAAACTAAACAGCTCAGGGGCCACAGATGGTGAGAGCAGCAGCTCAGGGGCCACAGATGGTGAGAGCAGCAGCTCAGGGGCCACAGATACTGAGAGCCAGCAGCTCAGGGGCCACAGATGGTGAGAGCAGCAGCTCAGGGGCCACAGATACTGAGAGCCAGCAGCTCAGGGGCCACAGATACTGAGAGCCAGCAGCTCAGGGGCCACAGATACTGAGAGCAGCAGCTCAGGGGCCACAGATGCTGAGAGCAGCAGCTCAGGGACCACAGATAGTGAGAGCAGCAGCTCAGGGGCCACAGATAGTGAGAGCAGCAGCTCAGGGGCCACAGTTACTGAGAGCAGCAGCTCAGGGGCCACAGATACTGAGAGCCAGCAGCTCAGGGGCCACAGATACTGAGAGCAGCAGCTCAGGGACCACAGATACTGACAGTCAGCAGCTCAGGGGGCCAAAGATACTGAGAGCCAGCAGCTCAGGGGCCACAGATAGTGAGAGCAGCAGCACAGGGGCCACAGATACTGAGAGCCAGCAGCTCAGGGGCCACAGATACTGACAGCAGCAGCTCATGGTTCACAGTTACTGAGAGCAGCAGCTCAGGGGCCACAGTTACTGAGAGCAGCAGCTCAGGGGCCACAGATACTGAGAGCCAGCAGCTCAGGGGCCACAGATACTGACAGCAGCAGCTCAGGGGCCACATTTACTGAGAGCAGCAGCTCAGGGGCCACAGTTACTGAGAGCAGCAGCTCAGGGGCCACAGATACTGAGAGCAGCAGCTCAGGGGCCACAGATACTGAGAGTCAGCAGCTCAGGGGCCACAGTTACTGAGAGCCAGCAGCTCAGGGGCCACAGTTACTGAGAGCCAGCAGCTCAGGGGCCACAGTTACTGAGAGCCAGCTCAGGGGCCACAGATACTGACAGTCAGCAGCTCATGGACTCCAGTCAGCCAACAGGTGAAAAGGAGGAACCCAGACCCAGACCAGTGGTCATTCCATATGTTGAGGGAGTATCAGAGAAACTGAGACATTTATTTTCTAAACATAACGTCCCAGTGGCTTTTAAACCCCAAAATACATTAAAGACTGGTTCATCCCAAAGATCCAGTCCCCCGGCACAAACAGAGCAATGTTGTGTATGTTGTTCAGTATCAGGAGGGTGATCAGTCTTACATCGGGGAAACTAAACAGCCACTGGCCAAAAGGATGGACCAGCACAGAAGATCAACATCATCAGGCCAGGACTCTGAGGTCTACACTCATCTCCAGGCCAGAGGTCACTCTTTCAGGGATGAAGATGTTCACATCCTGGACAGAGAGGAACGATGGTTTGAGAGAGGAGTAAAGGAGGCCATCTTTGTGAAAAGAAACCGTCCATCATTAAACAGGGGTGGAGCCTCCGGGTTCAACTGTCCCCCTCTTACAATGCTGTGATTGCTAGTATCACTCAGCCCTCTGTGAACAGTAAACAGCCATCAGGTGCTAATGACCCATTGTTAGGCTGATGGTCCTTCTTGAGCATGTGATCAGCTGGTTCTGGTTGTCAGCAGCAAAACTGGTTGATCCACTCTGAGAAGGTGCTATTTAAGAGACTGAGCTGAAAACAGCACCTCAGACTGAGGAAGTCCTCAGGATGAGAGACAAAACATTTCTATATTTTTTTGCTTTGTTTAGGTTTTTTGAATGTCCAGAGGACCAGATTGAACTGTTTTAGATTTTTCTACGTGGATTATTGAGCAGCATCAGGATATCTCCCCACCTTGGAGCAAGTTAAACCAGCTGCACCGTCCCGGTGAAATGCAGCTGGTTTGACCATTAAAGTGCATTTATTAAGTAAAAGTTCAACTGAGACACACATTTACTATAACTTTGAGTAAACTGTTGTTTTTAGGTGTTTATCTTGTTAAATTTTGAAGAAATGTGGAGGCTCATCCCTCTGCACGTGCCCACGCTTCCATGAATCGGTTTTTAAAATGCAGCTGATTTGAACATTAAAGTGCATTTATTACATTTATTAAGCAAAAGTTCAACTGAGACACACATTTACTATAAAGTCAAGCCAACAATTAATTGTTTTTAAGTGTTAATCTTGTTAAATTCTTGTTAAAGTTCTCCCGCGGCCATGATTTGGCACTTATCGATTTTTGGCACAACACCGGGTTGTCCGCGGTGACACGTAATAGACGCGACGTACTTATAGATTGTTTTTTATGTGATGTGTAGGGCCGTGCAACATGTAATTTAAATTTTTTGTTCTGATCGTCTCGTCTTTTCTTCCTGCTACTCGCTACGAACGTTGAGAAATAAATTTGATTGTAAAAAAAAAAATCAAAGATCGAAACTTAAATGTTCCAAATGAAACTTTTATCACGAAGCATGAAACGGGATCTACGGAGGCGGCCATGTTGGGTACTGGAGGACCCACAATCTGCTGAGTCACTTGTTGTCATGGAGATAGAGAGGGGAGGGCAGCAGCCAGCAGGCAGAACCACAGAGCAGAAAGTAAGCCTCAGACAAACGGTCTCTGTGAGAACTAGAACTTCTTGACTCGTGAGCAGCAGGAGGTTCTGATGGTTCCACAGACTCCCAGGGGGGACACATCAGTCCTGCAGCAGAGACGTCTCGGGGGACGGAGACAGAACCGTTCAAACAGAACAGATCAGGAGCGGAAAGCTTTAAAGGAACACTTTAATGAGATAAAAGGACACGCGTGCATCAAAGCAGAACATCCTTCAAAGAAAAGGCTCAAGACGTTTTGAACGTGTTTTTTATGTCCGTAAAAACACTCTCCGATCCAAAACTTTCAACCTTCAAAACTGAAATCTGATGTGACATCATGAGCCGACACGTTGAACTGGGCCCGGTTCTGATCTGGTTCTATAGTGGTTCTGATGTGGACCCATCACCTCCACAGTCTGTAGACCCCCAGAGCGATGGCGAGGCAGGAGAAGATGGTCGCTGTGAAGAAAAGGGGTAATACAGATGATTTAAAGGTCAGAGTCGTCTCATCGGACCGGACCGGACCAACACCACGGCCTACCTGCCAGGTACCGGACCGTCTCCAGCTTCAGAGACTCCAGCAGGGTCTTCAGCGAGGCCACCTGCAGGTCGATCTTCTTGTTGATCTCCATGTTGTCGTTTTCCAGGTTGGCTTTCTAAGAACGTGATGACATCATCAGAAGCAGCCAATCAGATTGAAGCAGTCAGGTGTGTGGCCTTTCACCTTCCTCAGGTGTGTGTTTACCTGGTGGTGGAACTCTGATGTGGCCTCCATCAGCTTCTTCTCCTGCTCCGTGAACTGACAGAAAAACACCATCAGACCACGTTTCACACGAGTTCCACCCAAAGTCAGTCTTTATCAGCCGAACGCCGACTCAACCGAACCTTCGGCTCGTTCAGCACTTCTGCTTTTTAACTGTCAGGGGATTTTGGGTCAACGGTCCTGGATGTTTTTATTATAGGGCTGAGGACGTTCTTCTCCTCTGCCCTGAGAACAAGGAACCCAAAACAACTGCAACTGTCTCCTGAGACACCATGTTGTCTCTGCCCATGAAGCATATGGGAGGAGCCACAACACGCTCCGCTGACGGACAAACATGGACCTCAGAGACAACGTCAGGAATCAGAGACTGGAGTAACTGGAGCTGATGTGGAGTCTGACGACAGCCCCCGGAGGAGGAGGAGACTGCTCTTCATCTTCCTCCAGAGTTGGCCGAGCTGTTTGCCAGCGACACCGAGGATGAAGAACTCAGTGGCTTCAGGGATGTGGATTGTGTAGGCGCCCTCTAGAGGGTTGGAGGTGAAGTGTTTCATTTATTAAGACTGGAAACTGTTAAGAGTTAACAATATTCTTCTGTTTAAAACATGTGGCTAAAACTACATTTGATCTTTTACTCTGTGTTGCACTACAAGAAAGAAGCCTAATACTTGATTTGTTTATTATTTAAAAACTCTCTGGACCGAGTAGTGGAATTTTCTTAATTCAAAATAGATGAAGGTAAAAGGACCCCCTGTGCTTTTTTTAGCAAGTTTTATACTAAAAACATATCGCGATATATATCGTTATCAACACCCTTCACAATACATATCGTGATGTGAATTTTATGCCATATAGCACATTCCTACTCTGGGAACATGTTTTGATGTTCTGGGCCCAGGTTTTGGTGGGCCCAGGTTTTGGTGGGCCCAGGTTTTGGTGGGCCCAGGTTTTGGTGGGCCCAGGTTTTGGTGGGCCCAGGTTTTGGTGGGCCCGTTTGGACCGGCTGAAGTGCAGATCTGAACCACGTCAAAACTTCCGACATGTTTTACTCCTGAACTGTAAAAAGGTTCTTGGACCCGAGATAGGTTCTGGGCCGTGGCAGGACTCTGAGGGTCTCACCTGAGCCGGTCAGAACTGGTCAGAACCACCCACCATGTCAGAGATCCAGCTCCTCTCCAGGTTGATGTCCAATCGGGTTTCTGCTCGGACCTTCTCACTCTCCTCCTGAACACAAACGTCCTGTTAACGCCGCAAACTCTCCAGAACCGGGCCGGACGGACCGGAGATCAGAACATTCAATGAACAACAAACGGTCCGACCCGGACCTTCTAACAGAGACGTTCTGCAGGAACGGTTCTCCGGGCTTCTTCAAGAACTTTTGTTTTTCTTTGATAACGCTGCGGTTCTGGTTCTGAAGAAGCCAGTCCATGATGGACCGGACCTCAGGCTGTTTTTACAGAACTTGGATCATTTCAGACTGAGCCCACACAGTTTTAACCTTCAGACCAGACCAGAACCAGTTCTGTTGGGTTCTGCTGCTCCGGTTTGATAAAAAGTGAAAAATCAGCCCAGGTCCAGTTCTTCAGGAAGTCTGGAGAACCGTTGTTCTGAACCACTAACAGATGAAAGGAACGTCTGGACCACTGAAGGGGTAAAGGAAGGAGAACCGGGTCAGGGGTTCTGGTTCCTCAGAGGCCTCACCTTCAGCCGGTTCTCCAGCTGCTCCAGCTCTCGTTTCATCTTCTGCAGGAACAAACACAGAGCTGGTTAGAACCGGTTCTGGAGTGAACGGTCCGGATCACTGAGGTTCTGGAAGTACCGTGTTCTCGGAGCGCAGGTTGGAGAACTCGCTCTTCTCCAGGATCACCATGTCCTTCCTGATGGAGTCCAGGTGGGTCATGATCTGCTGCACCGCAATCTCCTGAGGGGACAACAGACCATCAGACGGGACAGGTACCAACCCACGGCGCTGAAGACCCGCAAACAAAGGTCAACGACTCGGACCAGAACCTTCTACCTGGTGGCTCTTGGTCACCATGTCTTTGTAGACGGCGTCCATGTTGGCCGAGGTCATGGTGACCAGCGCCGAAACCACGAGCTCCGCCTGGCGCTTCTCAAAACCTGCAGAGGAACAAACCCACCCGGGTCAAAGAACCAGGACTAGCTAGAGTTCTGCTTCAGAACCGCAGGAGAACCCACCGCTGGCCTCCAGCTCCGTCACCAGAGCGTGGGAGTCAAAGGTCAACTTCCTCTGCTCCAGGGGGGTCAGCTCCACTTTCCTCAGGTCAAAGGTCGCCAGCGGTGCTGCCATGTGAAAACCTGCCACACAGAACCCACCAGAACCCTCAGGTTCTGCTGCTCAGAACCACCTGGACCGGGCCTGAGAACACTTAACAACTGAATGATGCAGAAAAACTGGTCCATGCATTTGTCACGTCTACACTGGACTATTGTACTGGTTTATGATCTGGGTGTCCAAATACTTCTTTAAAACGCCAGAGTCTTAACTGGAGTTACTGGGAGAGATCCTATCTCTCCAGTTTAAGACTTTCCTTTTTAATAAATCCTATAGTTAGGGTCGGCTTGTTATGCTGCTATAGACTTAGACTACTGGAGGACAAATTGACCTCATTTCTTAAATGAATTGTTAAAACTGAATAGTTTTCATTTGATACTATTTCTATCTTAACATGTGATTCTTGACCTGCCATTGTGTATCTATTCCTACCAAACCCAGCCGGTCGAAGCAGATGGTCCTCTTGTCCTGATCCTGGTTCTGCTAAAGGTTTCTTCCTCATGAGGGAGTTTTTCTTTCCACTGTCGCCTTCATGCTTGTTCAAGATGAGAGTTCAGTGATGGAGTTCAACTCAAAGCTGCTCCTCAGATAAATAATGTTTAATTATTATTTTATACATGAATGTTTCTGTTCAATTATTATTTTATACATGAATGTTTCTGTTCAATTATTATTTTATAGATGAATGTTTCTGTTCAATTATTATTTTATAGATGAATGTTTCTGTTAATTATTATTTTATAGATGAATGTTTCTGTTCAATTATTATTTTATACATGAATGTTTCTGTTCAATTATTATTTTATACATGAATGTTTCTGTTAAATTATTATTTTATACATGAATGTTTCTGTTCAATTATTATTTTATACATGAATGTTTCTGTT